TTAAAATGATGCCTGTGTGAATAGCCTCTTGAGCTTTGGGGTGACCCCCAGGGAAAGAGCTTCTGGGACCTCTTAGCTATGCCCCTGTAGCAGGACACTGCTCCCCAGTGGCTGTCTACCTTACCAACTACTTTTGGCTCTCCCATGGGGAGAGAGAGATGCTAGGGATCTCACCTTCACACTTCATGGGAAAAGCCCTATCTTACAATCCTCTTGTAGCCTACTACTGAATCAATAATTTCTTCCGCTGAAAGAATTATTGCTGCCTGCCCACCTGCTATGATCCAGGAGACACCACAGCCTGAGATGCAAGAATATTTATAAAATTGACCCTGGGATCATAAATCATGGCCATAATACTTCAAGTCTATCTCAAGGACAGAGTAGCTGTAGGTCAGTTTGAGAAAAGAGAACTTTGGAATAAATCCCATGGGAGAGTTGCAAAAATGAATGGAAATATCATGAAGTAAAGTGAAAAACACCTGTAGAGGTTTTGTGGGATGAACTTACTCGCATAGCTTTCGCATTTCCACAGGCAGCTTTTATGCGTATATGATCAGGTAGCTACGATCAAAAGTTGAGATTGCTTGGTAATTAACACTTTTGTGAATTAGAAACATTTAAATTTGCAAGTTGAAACCATATTCATTGTCACCCTTTTTGTGAGCTTACAGTAAGATCTAAGGAATGTGAGCTTAAAATGATGTATTCATGAAGTAAAAGCAAAGACTCAGACAAAAATTAGTTCCACTATTAATAAAATGTGAATCATACTTTCTACTTCGCAAACTTGTGGTGTTGTTAATGTAATAATTTAAAAAATTAATTGGCGTGGTCAATTCTTTTGTATATTTCAGTGGTCAGTTACAGTTATCTTTTCATTTAAATACAGTGCTCATTTGTTACTCATTGGTATTGGTATTTGATGAGGTGGAACTGGAAGCTTCCTTTTAAATAAAATACATCAAACATACAAAAATTATAATGAAACATACAGATCAATTATAAAGAAAAGAGTAAAGCATACATCATAGACTTCCCACTACTTGGCTTATTACTTTATTTCCAGCACTTTTGCAGCCAAGAGTTTTAGAAATACTTTGAAAATCTTCACATCTATATTGAAAAAATGTTTTAAGCATGTATGTGTGTACATATGTAGAGATAATTCAAGCTTAATACATTCTTTTTATCTGTTGGAAGATAAATCTATATTTGTCATCGGATATACATTTATATACTATGTATTATGTATTTATTCATATATATATCTGTATATAAATATTTAATCTTTGCAGTGGATTAAATTTGTTAATTGTGCTGTTAAAATAGCTTCTATCATTTTTTTATCTACTTGATCTGTCAGTGATGGAAAGAGGTATATGAAAATGCCATACAAGTTATCTTAATATTTTATCATGTTTTAGCTTTCTATGCTGTGTGCATTTAAATGAGTTACTAAAAACAACATTACACAAATATTTTTAATATTAGAGTACCCTCTTCAGTAATGCTTCTTGACTTAAATTTAATACTATTTTTTATCTGTTTCCTTATCTATTTTTTATTCATCTTTTTCTGGAATATCTTATTCTTATTATTTTATTTCAAATAATCCAGCTTTATATTTGAGTATATATCTTCTAAACTTTATTTAGCTAGATTTTTAAAGCCCAGTGTCCTGATTTTTGACCTTGGATGATGTTGTAGTTCATTACACTGGTGATTCTGTGTTCAGTTGTTCCCGGCATTCATGACATAATTTCTCTTTCTTCTGCTTTGCCTGTGTTTATATATTTATTTTAGTTTTAATTTTGTTTGGGATTGGCTTTTTCATTCCATATTTTTTCCTGCTATGGGTTTATTTTAATCATTTTTAATGGCTACCTAAAATGTTATTTTCATTCCCTGAACAGTACTTTGAACTGAAGTTTCTGGTCACATGCCTCAGTGCATGTCCCTAGGCTTGTGCTTGCTTCAGGGGTCTGTTACTTTTTCAATTACTGCTTCTGTTTCATTTTTCTCCTTTGGGGATGATTTTTGCATACTTTCGCTCCAGCATAAACATGCATTAAAAGTTATCTTAAAAAATATTTTATCCAGAATCTTTAGTGTTTTGTGGAAGTAGGGCTTTCTCAGAATATTTTGCCCTGAGTATAAACTTGTCTGTAAAGGGCTCTTTTTCCCCTCAAAATGGACTAAGAAAACAGTGTGTATGTGTATTAAACAATACAAGGAGTGATCAAAGCAGAGGGTTACTTTCAAAACTCTGTCGGAAAGTGGCAAGTATGATACGTGTATTTGAAGCAAGGAGGATTAATGGCAGTGTATCTTTTACTGTAATATTTTTTTTAAAAATCGAACATTCACATTCAACATATTTTTATCACACGATACTACACATACACACACACACACACAAACACACACGTGTGCATGCACACAGTTCCCTACCGCTCACAATTAGGCACTGACACTACAAAGGAGGTTAAATATCTAAACCGTGAATTTATACAATTTACTGTGTGATAGAAGACAGGAGAAAGCTATCAATTACAGGTATAGTAATAATATGTAATAAAATACTAAGCATCCTATGAGAGACCAAATGAAATGCCATAAGATTACAGTAGGATAAAGTTTCATCTTGGGGGTCATACACATCATACACATACATATTATACTAGGGTTTTCTTTTCTTTTCTTTTTTTTTTTTTTGCTACTGGGGATTGAACTCAGGTCTTTGTACTTGTGAGGCAGGCAGTGGAACCACTGAGCTAAATCGCCAGCCCCTATACCAGGATTTTCTAAAGGCTAGGGATGTAGCTTAGTAGTAGGGCCCATGCTTAGAGCACACAACCACACACATATCTCCATAAATACTTAAAGATGTTCCAAGATAGGTACCTTTCCTATTAAGCACTATAAGATGTGTCAAACTCCTATGTTTTAGTTACAAAATATGAAGAGGCTTTGAGTTTCAACCCATCCTATCTTAGTACAAAGCATGTAATAGATCAGGAATTGACAGACTGGCGCAATCGGCAAATTTGGCCACCTATCTATTTTTTTGTAAAGAAAACATTTTTTTGGGAAGATCCTATCCACATTCACTTGTGCCATTCATTTACATTCGTCTGTGGCTACTTTCCCACTGATAGTGGATTTGAGTAGTGGCCACAGAGACTATGTGGCCCACACAGTTAGATTAGTTGTAATCTAACTTTTCACTGAAAGTTTGCCGATGCATGTACTAAATCCTGTCCGGTGTTATAGCATGAGTAAACACAGGAACTCTTTCTTTCCTAGCCTAACTTTCTTATGTATATTTATTAAAGTAGGTTTTATTTACAAATATTCAACCATGCACCTCCTTCAGGCTCAGAGATTATTATTTTCTTCCACTGGAGAAATGTCCTTGCTACCATTCCTTAGTAATGATTTTATTTAATAGAAGGTATAAGCTTTCCAAAGAAATTTTGTATGGTTACTTCAAGTATCCATAGTTGTTTTCTGCCAACTTCATCTTACATTAGTGGTAAAGCATAAAATATTGAATGAATCAAATAAGTCTTCAAAAAACCAACCAGATATTCTTGCATTCATTAAATAAAAATATCCTCTATATTGCTCTTCTGTTTAAAGAAATTAGCCTTTGAAGTGGGAACATTTTCAGATACTAAACTATATTATAAACTAGTATTCTTGCCTTTCATTGTGGGAGTTAAATAGAAAAAAGATGAATTGGCAAAAACTGGAGAGTAATGTTTAACGTTCTACTCAAGAGCTGTTAGGTGTTTGAAGGAAAGTATAATGAAACTCCAGCACCTTAAACAACACAGTGCTCACATCTAACTTACTCGGCTCTGAGTCTAGGGAACACAATTCCTTGTAGTTATTTGAGATGTACAGCATCAGGCTAACTTTAAGAATTAGCAATAGCATCTGTGCACTCTGGGTCCTAGGGAGTATTCAGACTCAGCAGAGTGGCTCGGATATATGGAAGAATTTGATTAAGCGTTTCACAGTAGTTTCTCATTTTGGGTAGACTTGAGAAAACTCAGTTCTTCCTTCCAGAACTGAGACATACTTTTGCTGGGGAATCCCCGGACAGCCTCTGCTTGTGGAACAGCATCTAGTTCTGTTTGTAGCAGAGTAAGATTTTGAATTGATGGAGAGGGGAGGAAACCTGAATGGAAGTAAATGTGAACATTCTTCTGCGAAATGGTTTGCATCAGCAGCTCTGGTTGTCCCACCACCAATGGTTAGCAAAGAATGGTAGCGACCCTCACACATGTAACTTGAGATCAAGAAATATGGTGCATGTGAAAAGCTGAACACTTGCAAGATGTAGTTTAGAACTTTTGGCATGACATGGAAGAACCAGTGAGCTCCAATATCATGAATAGGCTAACATTCTGTGTACTGTATTAAATCAGAAACTCGATGGCAAACAAAGCAATCTCCAGAAACAGCAGCAGCATTCTTATATTCTATATATTCTATATTCTTGTGGAATATAGATTGCCCAGTGATGGATTTAAAACAGTATTTTTGAAAGTATGCATCATATTCAAATAGTGGATTATAGAATCATTTACTGTTGCAAACTTTTTAAAATTCCGGGATGCATCAAAAGTAGTGAGGCTAAATGTTTTGATTAATTTATCCTTCCGTTTTTTTACACACAGGGTGTAGAGGTAAAGTGTTGAGTTTCCAGCTAAAATATTGTGAGACACCTCTTTACAAGAAGCAGAGGGCCGCAGTAGATGCATGGGTTCTGTTGGTAGAAATAAACTGTGTATCAGTTTCTACATGAACATGGTGGACGGCGGCAAAACTAGAACTAGTGGAATGTATGCTGATACATTTCTTAATACTGCTATATGTTTTGCTTTAGCTCAAGCAGCTTTACTTTACTGTTTTAAGGCAAAACTGAGTTTGTTTAGTTCTGACTTTCATTCTTTACTCAGTTCACTGTGATTTTCTCTTTTGCCCAGGAGACTGCATCAACAATTTGAAAGCTATAAGGAACAAGTGAGAAAAATAGGGGAAGAAGCCCGGCGTTACCAGGGAGAGCACAAGGATGATGCTCCAACTTGCGGAATTTGTCACAAGACAAAGTTTGCCGACGGGTGTGGCCATCTGTGTTCCTACTGTCGCACCAAGTTCTGCGCCCGCTGCGGAGGCCGCGTATCTCTGCGATCCAACAACGTGAGTGTCCAGCCAGGCCCTCTGCCTCCCAAGCCCACCCGGGAGCACACGCACTTGGCAGCAGACAGAGGCTCCCTATCCCCTCCCTGTCTGCATGGTGCTCCAAGAGTCAGGCCGACTTGTGTTACTCCTAAAAAGATCCTGCCCTCAGTGTGCGGTGTAATAAATGGTTCCTCTTCCAAAGCAAAAGTAGATTACTGCGGAATAACTTTACCCATGACAGTAAATGTATTTTTAGAATGTGGTAAATGTGGATTTAGCCTCTGAGAATTATGAAACCTTTGAAAGTTGTTATGGCAAATTCTTCTTAGGGAAAAAAAAGTAAATTACTTTTAGTTTCTGCAGCATTAGTTTTCAGTCTGAATGAAGGTAATGTTGTATAGGGCAAACTATGTCAGGAAGTTGAACCCAAGATAATATATTAAGCCATGCTTAGCCTATATGACAATAATTTCACATTCAACTTATCTTGTGGTGATTATTTGAGTATTTAACAAGTATTTTTAAAATATAGCAGTTTCTTTGTAATTCTGAGAAGTGCACTTCTCATTTTCTTCCCTGTGAGCTATGTTTTGACCTGATACAACTTCCTTGTCTGGCTTAAATTACAGGTACTGCTCTGATTTCAGAGGGTTTGAAATATGTGAAATTTTTTTATCTTTTAAGATGCTAGTGTAGTAGAACATATTGTTATTTATGAAATTCTAGATAAACTTATTTGGTTCACAATATATTTTAATGTTGACTTCATCATACTCCCTAGATTACTATTACAGAATTATTTATAGAAAAAGCTGGAAGAGGGCTGGGGATTTAGCTCGGTGGTTCCACCACCTGTGTCACAAGCACAAGGACCCAAGTTTGATCCCCATTACCAAAAAAAAAAAATCTGGAAGAGTTTTCCTTGATATAAAACTGTATCATAATATAGACAGTTATGATAATTGTAGACCTAAGGAATCCCCAGTGTTTTTGTAAAGAATCTCTCATACTGTTTAATCATGTAGATAATTTAGTATAATATTATATTTTAAAATAATGTGAAAAAGGCTGGCGATTTAGCTCAGTGGTTCTGCCACCTGCCTCACAAGCACAAGGACCTGAGTTCGATCCCCAGTACCAAAAAAAAAAAACCAAAAAAAAAACCAAAAAATACAAACAGACAATGAAAGCTTTAAGCAGTCATGTTATATTTCTAATTTGAAAACCACAGAAGGAATCTCTCAATTTACATGGTAATCTTTTTTAGTCTGAGTTTTAAGTAGATAGTCTAAAGTCACTTTTGATGGAATGAAGGTATTTACTATTGATATATTTTTAAATTTAAGGTAAGATTATTACCATCTCTTTTGCTTTGAGAAAATTATTTCTGTGAATTGCAGCTTATCTATAAAACTGGGTAAAACATTACCTTGTATAGTTGTTATAAGAATGAAATTAAAAATCTATGCCTGTAATATACATACACTTTCTCTAGGTTCCATCCTAGAATAGTGTGAGTTTCATTTTTCCCTTCTAAAACTGATGCGTCGTAGTTCATCCTGATACGTGACCTTAAAGCCTGTCTAAGAGCAAGCTTGGGTATTGTCTGGCACGTAGGAAGCACACCAGATATATTCGCTAATTTTTCTTTTTAGTGCTCTTAAATATATACCTTGGAATAAATTCTTATAGGTGAGATCTTGAGGTGATATCTACATATTTAACAGCCCCTGTGCAAAGGGTGCTATTCAAGCTGAAAAGGCACTGTGTCCTGAGCATGAGGTGTAAAGCAGCCCAGTGTGCCTTCTAGCTGAGCCCCACGGCCGCTGGATGCTGTTAGTCAAATTCTTTCTGGGTCTGAGGCGAGCCAGGGCCAGTACAGTTGGCTGTTGATATATTAGAATCATCAGGGTCAGACTCGGGATTTAAGAAGCAGCGTGTTTAAAGATGATTGACTTAGAGGGTACTTGGGCTTTGAAGAGAACTCTCCTGCCTATTGTAGTTCATCAGTCTTTATGAAACCCACCCAACCTTGGAAAAACTATTTAAAAGAGCAAAATAATGGAAGACCCAACTTAAATTTTTTGTCTTAGGCATAAGACCAAAAAAAATATGTACTGTTTTTTTTCCTATAACCTTAGTGTTGAAGTAGATATCGCCAACAACTGTTGCTTTTGGAATAACTTGTGGTCAGAATAATATATTGCTTTTCCAATTTTCATCTGTTAAAATATTTACCATTGTTAAATACTAATGTGATGAAATAATATAGTACAATTTTATGCATTTTAGTAAGTATTTCTTCTTAATAATAAACTACTTATGGTACTAAATTCACTTTTCTGAAGAATATTTTAAATGTAGACCTACTAATCTAATTTCTAGAACATTAGGAAATTGTACCCAAGTTAGTGGGCATCTATTGACATGGAGTAGGTCCGATGCAGTCATTTTCAATGGTTTTACTTTTCAAAATATCTATTTAATGGTTTGAAGAAACACGTGATTGTATTATTAAAACCAGTTGATTGACACATGGCTCATTTTTGTTTTTCTTTTCTTTTTCTCTCTACTCTGCTTCCTTGGACGTGTTCCCAAAGGAGGACAAAGTGGTTAGAATCCATGCTTTCTTTTCTATCATTTGTTATTATATTGTTGTGAACTTTACTAAGTGGATGTTGCACCTAGTGTTGTTATATTTCACAAAGAAATTATATGTTAGGAGAGCTCATTCCTAGTTGTGCATATGAAAAAAATGAACATCTAGGAACATGACAGAATTTTGTATTGATTTGTAAAGTCTAGGTAGTTTGAGTTCACGAGGACACTGAAATTTTAATATAATTTATATAATTATGAGCTCATTTGTCTTCTTAGCTCTTTGAGTTTTGATGATTATTCCATCTGCTTTGGGTAATAAACTCTACTGGGCTTTATCAGCACTCCTGAGATGCAGGGGCAGGTGATTTGAAACTTTATTGCAGAAGGAGTGGAATATATGGAGAGAACAGAGAATGGTCAAATCCAAATCAAGAGCTCAAGATGCAATTTTCTACAGAACACGAGCAGCAGAGTTATAATATTGAACCACATTTGGCCGTTTTCTTTCCCTTGTGCATAGAAATCACTCATGGCCACGAAAAGTCACTTTTAACTCACAAAGCCTCTTTATATGGGGAAGATAGGATCCAAGTGGAATTTTAGGTCTGTGTCTCCATTGTCTGCACATTCTATACACCTTCATGTGCTGTAAATTAGAACTTCTGCACAGCTTTTTAATTTCTCAGTATGAGGCTGAGGCCATGAGTATTTCAGGTTCAATATATCAACTCAGCTGTGTTTGGTCTTGTTTTTAAAGCCTAAAGGTCATTCTCTATAGCATGATTAGCAAGCATGATATTGATTATTAACCTGTGTTTTTAAAATTCATGCTAATATATATTCATTGATTTTTTTTTTAAATGAAAAAAATTAGGTTGAGAAATTGTATAGAATGATATGTTTTCATTAAGTGTTTTGCCTGTACTGTTGCTGGCCTATGGGATCATTTTCGGGAATATTTCTTTCATGTAATACTGTACTTTATGAGAAAAAGCATAAGTAGAGTACCACACATGGGATTTCATAAATATTATTACTTTGAATGAGTATACATTCTAATTGTGGATATTTTTTCATTCCTTTGAAGAATAAAAGTGTAAGTAAACAATAATGCTAATGTGTAGGCAGCCATGGTGGAAGTAGTTAAGCTTCTTCTCCTGAGCTGGGCACTTTAAATTATTTTCTTTACTTCAAGCAGAATGCGTTTATCTGTTGTTTTATTTCTAAGTCATTAGTCAAAATTTCTTTCAGAAAAATTTAGCTTATTGAGGCCATTTAACAAATCACCTTTCTAGTCAAATTTTAGTCTTAAGTCATGTTAAAGAGAATAACTAAATAGTAAATGAAGTCTTAACTTGTCAGTCCTTTCTTCCTTCTGAGCACTTTCATTTTTGGTAGCGAAATTATAATCTGCAGAAGTATGTGTGTATTGTTCTTGTTGGTATGATTGAAATGGAAAGAGTAATGATGGTGAAAAACTTTTCTAAATGCAGTCTCCATTTTGAGCAAAACAGTAATAATGATTTCAATCTGATTTATTAAACTGATGAAGAAATGTGATTAAAATTCTAGAGGAAGCCTATACATGGCTAATGTATAAATATTTTCTTTGCTAAGTCCAGCAAAAAGCTGTTATATTTTTCAGGCAGTATTTTGTTTTAAATATTCACCCTTAGCCCAAATCATATCTAATAATAACCTGGAGGACAGTTTACTTGCTTATAAAGGAAATGGCTGTCAGAATGAATCATTTTGAAATGGGTGTATATAATAGTTTATAATAGGAAATTATTTTGTACACATGCTTGATTTGATTGGTAAAATTATGATTATAGTTCTTATTTTATTGAAAGCCCTCTTCTAAGCCCAAATATATAGAGATACTATAAAGTTCTCAATAGCCTATTTAAATTGTTTTACTCTATTTAGTGGAATAGATTTGAATTTAGATAGCTCCCTTGGAAACATTAACACTTTTCTGGTAGTAAGCCAATTGAACTGAATCCTCCAAATTCCATTCCTTTGGGATTTTCCAGAAAATTTTGTCAGTATTTTTTAAGAGGGAAAGATTGGATTATAAATATAGTAACCAAAATGAACATGTTGCATTTCTAGCTTATGTATATTTTCATAGAAAGCGTCAGATTTATGAGTTAAGAATATTTTATAATAAATATTGATATTACTCTGAGCACCAGAACCCTGCCATTTTCTTATTTTTTCAAAATGTGAAAGCTGCTCATATAGACCTATTTATTTGCAATTATGTGCAAAAATGTTTTTTTATGTCAAAGTAATAATTAATGAGGCATTATGTTTATGGAATCACAATTTCTTAAACCTCATAACTTTTCCTTGGTGTTTGTTTTAGAAATTGTGTTAAATGCTATATTGCTGAAACAAATGTTTTAATTTTTAAAAACTTAAGGTTTAGGTAGGGCAAAGACAGTACCTGTTGTGTGTGACACCAGCCTCACCATGAGGTGTCATCGGTGGGTGATCAGTTTCTAATGGTATAAAAGTCTTCCATTCACAGAATGCTTTTACAATAACAAAGTAGTAATTTTGGGCTTCTTCTCCTGCTAGGATTAGATAAAGGCAAGCAAGTCAGTGGAATCATTCCATTTTCAAAAAAATGATTTGCATGATTGCATTGCATATTTATTATTATTATGGAAAATCTTCTCAGAGTTATCCATATTTAGCCCATGGCATGACAAAGCATATGATCATTTGCAAAACCATTTGTAGGAATTTTCCTGGGCTCGCTTTCATGTTTTCTTTATTTCTAGATGCTTTGATAGATTTCCCTGGCAGTAGTAGTTTTAGCCTTCCCAGAAAGACATTCTATATTTATCTTTATAGAAAAGTGTATAAATGTAGATAAATATATCAATAAAATGTTAGGATTTATCAAGAGGAAAACTTTCATTAGATGGTTTGGTTGGTTAGATTTGTCAAGGTGTTTTGTCTGATTTTGTTGTGCTTTTAACAGCAAGCTTCTAAAAACACTTCCAGAGAAGAATCCAGAAAAGTAAATTTTTAATTTTGAATATGCTTTCAGAATTTGCTACACTGTTTTTCAAGGAAGTTCAATCTCTGGAATGAGTATGACCAGGGTTCGCTAAGAGCGAGGTAGAGGAAGAAGGTCCGGATCACGTAACTGCCCTTGCCTGTGTAGATGCTGTGCAGCGTGGAGCTGGATATGGAAATGAGAAGTCAATAGGCTCTCCCTCTGGCACAGTCGCTGTACCTCTGAACTGGCGTTTTATCACCTTTCTGTTGACAGGGCACAACAATTTACACACCTCAAGGGAGGAGAGGTTACATTTGGCTCATGGTTTCCGTTTATGCTGGGTGGGGGCCACTTCCGGCAGAAATATCATGGCGGAAGGATGTGATGGAAGGAAGCCATTCACCTCATGGAAGCCACAGAGCAGAGGGGAAAGGAAAGAACCAGACAGAAAAGAGCCAGGGACCAGCTATAGACTCATCCATCAATGGATCAATTCTAAATTAGAGCCCTCAAAATCCAATCACCTTCCAAAATCCTTACCTCTGAGCACGTGAGACTTGGGGGTGGGGGCGTTTATATCTAAACCGTACAATCGGGAATGGGGAGTAAGGGACTCTGCTGTTGGCTGCGCATACCAAGATGCTTTTTGATCAATTTAATATAAAACTTATTCAGTATTAAAAAAATCAATTATGTTTGATCACTGAGCACTTTTGTTTAACCAAGCAACCATGAAAATTAATTATGGTAATTTAAGAGCAAAGTCTTTCCCCTGGGTAATGTGCATCATTCATTCATTTACTTAAGGATTTATTGTATCGTGACCGTTAAATTTTGCCTTTGATGTAAAATGCACATACAAAACTTTTCTTCCAAAATTGTATTATTTCATAAATTCAGCTTAAATTTGTATATCTACATGCATGTGTTTGTATAATACAGATAAAATCCCATACTTATGCATAATAATTTTATGGCATGTTATACTAAAGAATAAATAAAATTTCCTGAGGTTCCCTGTTAGTGTTCAGTACAACGGTTGCCTGTTAATTAAATCAGCATTACTACTCAAGCCTTTTAGTGGCAAAAACACCTTTTGTGCCTTTTCACTTATAAGCCACAAATCTATTAGACAATGGCCATTCTTCATATTCTGTTTATTAGAGCAGTTTTGAAGATATTTTTAAAACTGCAAAATTTATTTGAGCACTTCTGTTGTTACTTTAAAAACTATTTTAAATAAATTCTACATCTTACAGCCATAACTCGAAGTCAGGCATATGGATCTTAAAAAGTTCTTGTTTTTTCTATATCCCTTACTACATTTAATGATAAATTTGTTCATTAAATAACTTATTTTGTTGTAAATATGGATATTAAATATTTTGTACATATAAAGTTCTACAGCAAATATTCTCTTTTAAAATTTTTTATTTGGATTTTTTATAATGGTGGAAAATAATTTTTGTGCATTTAATTTATGAGCATCTGTGTTGTGAAATTTTTTTCATAAAAAGTGTTTTGATTGACCAAGTGCTGTTCAGTAGATTATATGGGTAAAAGTAAAATATAAAGCTATCATGGAGAAAAATATATATAATATTATATTATATATAATACATATAATAAATATAACAGGCCTTGTGATTCATCAGTTATTTCTAGGGAATTTGAAAATATCTGTTACTTTTAACTACATAGAAACACAGATCCACCCCATTAGTCCTTGAGCCAGGTGTGCACTTAACATTTTCAGGGCAAGCGAAAGCAGGTATGACAGTCACGAGGAAAGGGCTGCCCATGACACGCTGGGGCCAAAGGAGGTTTCTAGGGGAAGCAGAAAGTCAGCCTCCCATGATGCTTGGAATACACTATTACAAAGGTTCATTTTTGTTTTACTCACCTTTCAACATTTTCCTTTTTGATTTGTTGCTTTTTATAAACTGGTTAAGATTTTTATTATGTATTATAATTGCTTTGTAAATTTGTGCTCAG